TAGAGCAATGGGCACCTGTAAGGAGCAGACAGAGTGAGGATGAAAAGGTAATTGAACGAGCAGATTTGGAATTAGCCTTAGGATGCTATATGGAGTGGGGAGCCAATGCGCTTCTGTGTGTATGGGATTAAACACATTATGTGCCTAACAGTAATGAGTAGTATAAAATAAATGGAAAATTTTAAAGCAAGTGACAAATAGAAATTTGTGTTAATGAAAAGTATTTGAGGGCAGTGGGCAAGAGATGGAGGGAAGGTATAAAGTGAGGGCAGAGGGAGGAGTTAGAAGCCTCATAGGGAAGACAGTGATGAAGGCCTCCTGTGAAGGCTGGGGAGGACAGAGAAGAGACACTTCCAAGGAGCCTTTAAATAAAGCTTGAGGCACAGTATACTGGATGTGAAAGGGTGAAGATAACAGAGGTTTCTAACTGGGGCAATTCAGTGGATGTCGAAGTAATGAAGATAAGCCATATAGGGCGACTAGCATGTTTAGCTGTGTTTGGTTTCTACGTGGAAGAATATCAAGTTTGATTTCAGAATACTGAGTGGAGGTTGGTGTGCAGGAAGAAATGCAGTAGGAGGCTCTGGAAAAGAGATCTCAGCTAGGGAAAGATGTGGGAGCCAGTGTATTGCTGACAGCTGAGGTCAAGCGACCAAAGATAGCTATTTCAGCCATGATTCCCAAATTGGGAGTGGGAGGAGGGGTAGTTGGCAGCACGGGGGACACAGCAGTGAAAAAGACAGACACAATCCCCCTCCCCAGTGAATTTACAATCCTGCAAGGCAGCCGGGTGCCTCCCCACCAGACCCCTCAAGCCTTAGCCCTGGGGAGGAGCCGGAACACGCAGTGCGCGTGATGGGGAACAGGGAGATACAGATTTTGCCTAGAAGAGGCTGCTCACCCCTAAACAGTCCTTAAGCATTGGCAAAGTCTAGCAGGAGGAGCTCAGCCCCAGGGGCTCTGGCACCACCCTCCCCTTCTCATTTCCATGACAACTGCTGACCTCAGGGCTGTGTGACTGCCCTAAGGAAACACTGAGCTGGGGCTCGCACTCCGCCATGCCTTCCATCCCAGCAAGCTCCTCTGCCTTAATTTTACTTCAGACTTTGACCTTTTGGAGCAGTGATTTGATTTACATGACACTGGAGGTTATAACCGCGGACTGACAGGACTTGCATTGTACAATAACATTAACTTCCACACGGAGAATGGTTTGCCAGTTCCAAGGCTGAGAGATCAGTTATTAAGTACTGTAATAACGCAGACATGATGTAATAGTGCACCAATTCATACAGGGGACGATAAAGGCAGTGCAGGAATGTGGTAGGTGACAAACCAGGATAAGTCAGACGTGATGGGGACAGAGGAACTGAGGATGACTGATTTTCTTAGCTTGGGCAAGATCTGTAGTTGGAAATGTTAAAATGGAATCGTGGAATATGGGAAGAGGAGCATGCTAAGATGGGGGGAGGAAATTAATGAGTTGTTATAGGCACATCAAGTTTCATGAGATGATAGGGCTATGGGGTGTGAAGAATTTAGAAGACAGAAATAGACTTCTGCGAGTCAGGGAAAAGTGAAGCTGAGAGATAAGGAAGTGGGAGTCAGTGTATAGGTGACAGTTAAACATCAGAGTGATAGAGACCTGAAGGCAGCAGGAGAAGACAAGAGGCCAACACAAAACTGGAGAACATCAACATTTAAAGAGAAGGGTGAAGGGAAAGCAGCAGTGGAAACTGAGACAAAGCAGTTAGAGATAGGCAAAGAATCCGAATTAGCAGCAAAATAAACACTATAACAGAATATAATGAATAGAGATTTATTAATATGAGCAGTATGATCTTCTTACTAATAATAGTTCTGGCACTCTTTCTGCCCTCTAAATGGAAATACACTATTTTATGTTAACTCCAAAAACTGTAGGATTCACTATATCTTCCACTGAAAATTTTAAATCAGAGGCCCAGAAAACCAAACCTGGAAAAAACTTTAGAGATCTTCTAGTCTAATGCCTTCTGGATGTGAAAAAATTGAGGCAAGCTTTTCTATATATTACAGGAAAAGCATGAAATCCCATATATTCTGAGGTCCCTAGGCATTTTATTCTAATCACATTATAGACAATGATGGCAGGACTACGGGTCCTACTTCATCAGTCCAGACTTTTCATCTCTGAAACTATGAAAGAGAATGAAAAGCAGCAGACTACCTTTTAAAACAAAGTTTTTGTGAAAACTAAATGTAAAACAATTTTTAGGAATGGTATATTTATTATCTGCATAATTTTTAAGTTAAGATTTATAACATTTCATACTATAAATTTAGTCAAGATGACTATCAAGTCTTTTAACGATTATAGTATTTGAAAATACAGTTTGGATAATCATCACTATTATATCAGCCCTCAAATCCAATTTGATGCTGTATTACCAAAAGAAAATACTGCACAGAAGTCATAAGATACGTACTTCTACACGGTAACAGTTTTGAAACAGTCCACCCTTCCATCTCTGAATACTCTTCAATTAAATAGAGAAATACTGCATAAAGCATGGTAACTTGTCAGCATAAGTTAATGCGTTTGTGGTCAAAAAATTTGGTATATTTTTAATATGTACTGTTTTCCATTACTGGTGTAAGTGTGTCTGTATGTCTGTGTGAAATTTTAATAAAGTCTTTGTGGAATGGCATAAGTACTACTACAGGTGTAGAATAGGTATAGATCTTCTTGGAATAAAATATGAAATCCTGCAGATAAAAATAGAGGCAAACATTTATTGAGTACTTAGTTACATATTTAAATATAAGTTTGTGAAGAGTGGAAAAACTCTTTATACTTTTTTTTCCAGTCTACTACAAAGAGTATTATTTGAATCCCTGATAAAAGATTATTTTTTAACATCAAGGATTTATACAAGACGTTAAACCAACATATAAAAAACACCATCAATCTCTCCCTTTCTACTAGACTAGTGTTTCTTAACCTTGGCACTACTGAGATTTGGGGCCAGATAATTCTTTGTTGGTGGTAGTGGGGGTGCTGTCCTGTGTGATGTAGGCTGCTTAGCAGCGTCCTTGGCCTCTACCCACTAAAGTCCAGTAGCATCCCACCTCCCAATTTATCACAACTAGAAATGTCTCCAGACATTGCCAAATTTGTCCTGAGGAGCAAAATTGCCATAGTTGAAAACCACTGTACTAGACCACTCTCACCAGCACATATGCATATTCTAGTATCTTCAGTTTAAAAAAAATAAAATATGCCCTTGATCCTACATTGTCTTCCAGCTAAAACCTCAATTCTTTGACTATCTTCACAGCTAAAATTCTAAAAACAGTTGCCTACGCTCACTGGTTCCACTACCTCCAATGAACTCCTCAAGATGCTGCAATCTGGTTTCTCTCTCTATCCCTGCTCATCAAGACACCAGTGATCTCTGTGTCGCCCACTCCAAGGGACATTTCTCCTTCCTTTTTCAATTGACTTTTCAGGAGAATTTGCCCTAGCTGACCACTCTTTCCTCTCCTCTCTGTCTTCCGAACACTGTACTCTCCTCTTTCCCCCACTATAATCTGTCTGCTCCTACACAGTACTCTTCTCCATCCTCAATGTCCGAGTGTGCCAGAGCTTGGTCTGGGCCTTTTGCCTTTCTACATTCTCTGTATTTGATCTCATATAAGCCCCTGGCTTCAAATACTCCTCTAGGAGCTGATGACTCCCAAATTTATATCCTGAGACTACACCTGTTCCCTTGGACTCCAGGCTCATTTATACAATTTTCTAATTGATAGCTCCAGTTAGATAACTCAGAGGCACTTCAAAATTAATATGCTGAAAAATGAGTTCTTTTTTTTTGGTGAGGAAGATTGGCCCTGAGCTAACAGCTGTGCCAGTCTTCCTCTATTTTGTATGTGGGTTGCTGCCACAGCATGGCTTGATGGGCAGTGTGTAGGTCCGCACCCGGGATCCGAACCTGTGAACCCTGGGCCACCAATGCGGAGCACACGAACTTAACCACTGTGCCACCAGACCAGCCCTGAAAAATGAGTTCTTAATAGTTATAACCCCCACCTCACCCAAACTTTTCCTCTGTATTCTTCCTCATGGCTGTAAATGGTCCCACCAGTCACTCATTTGCTCAATTCAGAAAAAAGGAAAACCCACAACCTGGAAGTCATTTTTGATTCCTCCTGTCTCCACCTTCTGCTTCTAAAGTATCACCAAGTCCTGTGTTTTCCATCTCCACAATGTATCTTAAATGTATCTACTTCTCTCCATCGCCAGTGCTATCTCCTCAGACCAAACAACCACAATCCTCACTTGGGATGTTCAATTGCCTGGTCTTCCTCCTTCTCTCTATCCTCCCCCACATCCAATCCATTCCCCACTCGGCAGCCAAAGAGGTCTCTATGTCACTCTTATACCTCAATTGACTAGCTTCAGATTGCTCGTGGAATAAAATTCAAACCCATTTCCACAGCGTTTGAGGCTGCCTGCCTTCCTAACTTCACCCCCTCTCTCCCCACGACCATGTGCCAGAATCACAGGCCTCTTCTCCGTCACTGGAACTTGCCCAAACTACTCTCCCACTGGGCCTTTGCATTTGTTTGTCACTGCCAGGGACACTCTTCCTCTGCTCTTCTTATTACTACTCCCTCAGGTCCCACCTGGCAGGTCACCTTACCTGACTTTTTCAGGCAGGCCTTCCCTGGCCAGCCACTCTGAGGTGGCCTCCCAATTACTCTACCTCAGCAGGCAGTCATTTCCTTCACGACAGGTAACAGGACTTGTAACCATCCCATGCATTTACTGATTTGCTTGCGTGGGGGTGTTTGTTTCTGCATCCCCATGAGGGGAAAGATAACTTAGTATCTCTTTTATACCCCCTGTTGCATCTAACACAGTACTTTGCACAGGGTTGTCAGCCAACAGGTATTTATTGAGTAACCGAGTGAACAAATTTTAAGTAGGAGAAGAAAGATACAAAACGTTCACTTACCCAGTGTCCGGAAAGGCCTCTGACTTGGTGACTGGGAGAAGAAACCAGGCTTCAATGCATTTGTAATCACAATGTCAAAAAGATCTGCAAAATCATTCCTAAAAGGCAACAATATTTTTCATAAATTTATTTTAGGGAATTAGAAAAGGTCCATATAAAACAGAACTTAATCCTCGTCTATTTGACTACAGCATCACTTCTTATCTTTTGATTAACTTTTACATTCTTTCTATACATTTTAAAGTGGATCTCACACTGGAAATAGGTGATTGAGCACTAGTCTTCCTGACAACACCCTGAAGTATAAAACATAAGGGGAAAAAAGCACATTAACTCATTAACTCTAGGTGCTAAACTGGCTTTCTCATGACGGTAATATAATGGGTGAATTCAATAGTTTCTAACAGCTAAAATATTCATGAGCTACGTCTTTAAATTTGGGGCCTGAAATTTGTCTGGATTTATTAGCATAAAGAATTATTAATAATTTTTTGTTACATAGGTCCCACAGAAAGCTAGCATTATATCAAGTCAGGTGACAGCTTTCAGAGAGCGTTCAAAACGTGAAGGAGATACTTTATTTTGAAAATCAGTGTAGTGTTATAATGTGGCAATTTTTAGGTAACAAAAATAATTGCTTTTTAGTCTGTATTTAATACTATATTAAGGAATATTTGGGATGGCAAAGGAAAGATAGTCCTTGTTCCTGAGGGACTCACTATTGCAATGGAATGAAAATATTTACCCAACATTCCAGAATACTTTTACAAATCAAAGCCTCCCTGAAGAGAAATTAAGATAGGAAGACAAACTTTGGTTATCTATGTTAATGAAAAAGAAATTAAGACTCCTGAGTGTTTATTCTGAAGCATGGTCCCACTACCAGGACAGCAAATGTCTCTACAAGAGGCCCCTTCTGAGGCATCCAGGACCTCAGCTTTAATTTACTTCAAGGATCTCAAGCCTATGTATTATTCAGAAAGCAGAAAATCCACGGATACTGTCACAGACCAGTGTAAACCCACATGTGCTGAGGAACATAGAAATCAGGAGGCTAAAGAAGTCTATCAGAGGTCAGTCTTGAGGCTAAAATTTGCTTCATACTCATGGCAATTCAGTATTTGCTGAAATTTGAGGGAGCAGTGGAGATCTAACAGCCCATTTTAGAATCTGGCTCTGACCACGGCAATTCCCTAGTTGCCCACAAAAATGACATAAATAAGTACTAACACTTACCGAAACCTGCCAACTACTCTGCACTAATACTTGACCTGCATTAGGCGATTTAAACTTCCCCTTAGACCTGTGAGGTATTATTGTCCCATTTTAAAGATGATGAAATTGAGGCTTAGAGAGGTTATAGAACCTACCCCCCGGTCACAGAATAAGTTGCAAGGCAGGGCTTGAACCCACATTGGTCTTATTTTAAGTCTATGCACTTACACTGCCTCATGGACGTCAGTTCCAACCCTGGCTGTGCGAAATGGTGAAGTACATGGCTCCATACTGAAATGGCTACAGAGGGGCTGTACTCCAGGTATGTGTCAGGGAGTATAGTCTACAACTCAGTGTCCCTCAGTAATCATCCAAAGCTGAGAAACCAAATTCATGGAAGATACCTGAAGGACATGAGGTCCATCCACCTTTCAGAAAATCCAAAGCTCAGATCATCAACAGGCTATGAGCATACTGGCCCCTAGTAACATAGCTTTGTGAAAACGTACTGTAGTGGGGGGGGGGGGGGGGGGGGGGTGACGCGCGAGGGGGCGGTGTTGCTGTCAGCAGATATTTAGGGATGTTATGAGAAACAACCACTTGTCCCTCAGCATTGTTTAATATAATGATATGGTCATAAATGAGCACTTTTGAAAAAACACTGGCCTAGTTTGCTATCAGTATTTCATAACACCATGAAAACAGAATGACTCATCACTCACCCAAGGATATGTTCGCAGAGAAGTCTACAGTAATCACTGTGAGAACTGGTAATTAACAAAAGAATTTTCCCAGCATTCTTTAGCCGTCGAAGCCACTTTTTTACAGATTCAGGACAACTGTGTAAATATCTGCCTGGATCTCTTTTTACTTCTGGAAAATATATTCCACAATTTTCTGAAAAGTAAAAATATCAAGAAGAGTTTTCTTTTAAAAAAATTTTTGACTCTGTATTCTCAAATTCATCTCTCTCAAAGCTATAGACAAAATTAAAAGGATAAAAATAAGTTTGAACAATCTAGCAATGATGCCACTGGTAACTGCTTCTTAAGAATACTTCTTGTTCTTTACTTAAAAACACGATGATTGAAAATGTCAGTCGAGGGCCGGCCCCCTGGCTTAGCGGTTAAGTGCGCGCACTCCGCTACTGGCGGCCCGGGTTCGGATCCCAGGCGCGCACCGACGCACCGCTTCTCCGGCCATGCTGAGGCCGTGGCCCACGTACAGCAACTAGAAGGATGTGCAACTATGACATACAACTATCTACTGGGGCTTTGGGAGAAAAAAAAAAGAAAAAAAAATTTTAGAAAATGTCAGTTGAGAATATCTGTTGGCTATTTGACAAGAACTGATAAACTATTAAAACAGATAACATAGACACAATATAATGAGCATTTTCAAATCAGAGAAAACCTTACTGCATTAAAAATGTCAATTAAGTGCCGGCCCCGTGGCTTGGTGGTTAAGTGCGTGCGCTCCGCTACTGGCGGCCCGGGTTCAGATCCCAGGCGCGCACGGACGCACCGCTTCTCCGGCCATGCTGAGGCCGCGTCCCACGTACAGCAACAAGAAGGATGTGCAGCTATGACATACAGCTATCTACTAGGGCTTTGGGGAAAAAAAGAAAGAGGAGGATTAGCACGGATGTTAGCTCAGGGCTGATCTTCCTCACAAAAAAAAAAAAAATGTCAATTAGTAAATATTCTTTCAATCATTCAACAAACATTTGCTAAATACAGATAACAAACAAATATTCAGATAATGCACCAGGAATACGTATTTGGCATGAAGATGTTGAGAAGGGAGCTGGGTTCCTCAGAGTCACAGCAGTGTTGTGTCAGATGGAACTCAGACTAGAAGAGCCTGTCTGTTACAGCCTCTGAGAGGCGCCGAGATGCCAAATGGAAAAACAAGCCAGAAACGGCCAGAAAGCACTGCAGGTGACAGTGAAAAGCGAAGGACTTGAATCAGTGAGCTGGGACTGCTGGCTCTGTTCTTCAGGTCGTTAAGAGTCCAAGGGGTCAGGCTGAGCTCCAAGGCAGAAAGCGGCAACATTCCCAGAAGTCCTGGTCAGATGCACCCACAGTGCTTGACATGGTGCTGTGAAAGTTGTGGGTCCTCAGCAGACCATTGCAGATTTGGTTGAAATGCTTCTAGACTCATAAAGCATTAGCGATACTGCTCTCTGGGAAAGACAGCACTAATCAGCAGATAAACAGACCCCAAGTTCTCACTTTCTTTAACTGCAAGGAGAAGGACACGTGCATAAACAAAACAATAGGTGAAAGAGCTTGTACCAAAGGATGAACTCTGCAACTCTGCACCGTGGCAAGCACTTGACATGACAGAAATGAAAGTGAGATTTCAAGAATATCAGGACAGGAAAGAAGAGTCTCTAGCTAAAAAAAAACAAAATAGGGGCTGGCCTGGTGGTGTAGTGGTTAAGTTCGCGTGCTCTGCTTCGGCAGCCCAGGGTTCACGGGCTCTTGGTGTGGACCTACACATCGCTCATTAAGCCATGCTGTGGCAGCGTCCCACGTACAAAACAGAGGAAAACTGGCAACGGATGTTAGCTCAAGGCCAATATTCCTCAAAAAATAGATTAATTAATTAAGAAAACAAAAACAAAACCAGAAATGGTAGCAAACACTGTTGTCTGCTGGCACAATCTACTGCCCCTCTTCTCTGTCAGAGAGTTCTCTGATTTCGTTCAAGGTTTTATCCTCCTCTGAGGGGCTGGGTGCTCAGGAAGGGCATTGGTCTCTATCGGTCTACCCTATCATGGTTAATTCCTTCCCCTGGCCAGTGACTTGTTTAGGAAGGTGCAGGAGACCCAGGCATGGCCAATGAGACTTGAGGAGAACTCTGCTGGGGGTCTCTGGAGTTATGTATACCACTGATAAGAAGCTGATAAGAAGAAATCTACATAGTGGGACACGTCCCTTCTTCTATTCTGAACTTTGCTATCACTATATGTTCTAGCTAGAACTGCAGCAGCTATCTTCAACACAAAGCACAAGTCTGACATACCAGGGATGGCCAAGTGGAAATCTGAAAGTAATCTGGGTCTCTGACAACATCATTGAGTCTCTGATCAAGATACTGAAATAACCACCCCTGGAAATCCCACCCAAACTCTGGACATCTGGTCATGTGAAATAACTCAATTTAATAATAGCTTAAGGGGCCGGCCCGGTGGTGCGGTGGTTAAGTGTGCGCACTCCGCTTCGGCGGCCCGGGGTTCGCAGGTTCAGATCCCGGGTGCGCACCAACAAACGGCTTGTCAAGCCATTCTGTGGCGGCATCCCATATAAAGTAGAGGAAGATGGACACGGATGTTAGCCCAGGGCCAATCTTCCTCAGGAAAAAGAGGAAGATTGGCATCAGATGTTAGCTCAGGGCAGTCTTCCTCACAAAAAAAAAAGAAAGAAAAAGAAAAAATAATAGCTTAAACATTAAGGATATCTATTATTTGCAGCACAGAGCATCTCTATTCAGAAAATAATACACTGCAAGAATTCATCACAACCAGACCAAAAAATAACTTAATCAAGAAAGAATATGTTACACTTTGAGAATAATATTCAGACATGAGAAGACCAAGAACAAAAATAAAGTTGTTGTTCTTGTATTTTGCCCTACGGGGACACTGGTGTGTAAACTTCTAGGATCTCTCAATATCCCAGAAGCTATGTTAACAGCCCTTAATAAAATTAAAATATATCTCTGTTTTTCAGGGAAAAGAAGGTACTAGTAAGATAGGGCTAATTTAAGAAAGAGAAAACACAATTAAGTAGCTAAGAATACAACAGTTTGATGAGTGACTATCAAAGTACTAGCAGAGGCTGTGTCTCTCTCAGAATTTATTATATCTAAAGGAGTCATGTGTGAGATTATTTTTCCAGAAAAGCAAAGATTTTGTAGCAATAGTTTTATGGGCTGGATAACAGAAGATTTATAGTCTATATCGCTGAACACATTTATATACTTAAGCTTCTGCATTCAGAAACTTGAGAAAAAGGCTATTTTTTCCTTAGCTATATGTGTTTAGTGCCATCTAGTGATCAAAATATAAATTACTATTAAAACGTTACTGTTCTATTTCCAAACGAATAAAAAAAATAAAGCATATACATTTAAATACCGTATTTTAAAATCCTTGCCTATATTAATTTTATTAGTATTTCTTAATAAGCCTAATGCAAAAGAGTGCAAACATTATAGTTTACTTGGCGACAATTACTCTCAGAGGTACTGATGGGGGTGTCCTTGCTTTGTTCACAAGCCAGATTGAAATGAAGAAACTAAAAAAGACAAACTCTGTACAAATAGATACTCAATGGCAGATTATGAGTTACTCTTACTATAATAGGTCACTGACTGTTGTTGGGGAAAATATTATTGTCCCCTTTTAACCTCAAATTATTAAAGGAAGAGGAGATATAATTACATAAATATTCATCTTTTTTAAAATTTGTTTTGACTGAGATATAATTGACATATAATGTGCAAGTTTAAGCAGTACAATGTGTTGATCTGCAACATTTATATATTGCAATATGATTTCCACCGCAGCATTAGCTAACACCTCTATCATGTCACATAATTATCATTTCTTTTTTGTGGTGGGAACAATTAAGATCTAGTCTCTTAGCAATTTTGAAGTTTATAATACAGTATGGTTGTCTATAATATACATTCATCTTTTTCTTGAAATAAATCAAGCTACTGAACCAAAGGAAAAGTTATGTTAAACATACTACACTGAATTATAATCGTCAATTAAATTGTCTCTGCAAAGAGACTGTAAACTCCTAAAGGTAGGGAGTATAACTTTCTGTTTGGCACGGAGCAGGCGACCCGGGGCAGACACAGGAACACTTATGTTTCTTTATACTCAAAGTAATAATGTGATTTGTAACATATAACATAACTGTGAATGACAAAAAATGGTCCTATCAAAGTCATCCTATCTAAAGTACCTTCCATTTTTTTTACTCCTACTGAAAAAAAGGATCATGTTTAATTATACTATGATACTGATAGATTAACATTGACTGGACAAGACAGAGAATTTAGACCTACCGTGGAAAGAAAGGAATGGTCTTGTTTGTTCTCAACTCACAAAGTAGCCTGTGTTTTCACTTAACCTCAAAGGAATTCTATTTCACTCACTTTATGGCACTCATTTTCCTGGCCTTTCCCCCCCTCTTATATCCTTAGATGCTGGTATTTTCTGCATCCAGACGGGATTACAAGTAAAATTTTTAAAAACTTAATTCTAAAGAATAAAAGTTTAGCTCTCCTATAGTAAAAGATTGGTTAATACAAAGTCAAGAAAATAACAGCAAAGTGTTGCAACAGTCTGCTATGCACATAAAATGGCCTGTATTTATTAAACACGATTCAGGATTTAGGGACCTCTTGTGGTCCCTAAACTTGTACAAGTTTACTTGTACAAGTACAACTTGAATATTAAAAATACTTTTTTAGTTTAACAGACAATTGTGCCACATCACTATTTCTACCATCACAGAGTAAGCCTTTTTCTTGTTAACTGTATCACTACTGTTTGTGTGATTTGTGGTTGGAGTTTTCAAAGCTGTTGTCGCAGGGAATTAGAGATGCCGGGATGCTAACAGCTCTACCATCAGCCTCCACTTAAGGTCTGTTGTTATTTCCATTGCAGAACAGAACTTAGGAGAGACTGAAACATTTACAACCTTTTTAGAAGTTACAGAAGATAATGCTAGTGAACAGCTAAAATGTTCAGCTATGAATTGTTTACATGTATTTGCTGTAAGAGACCATAAAACTAATTTTCTGAAACATATATAATTTTTTTTGGCCAAGAGATATTGAAATATTTTTTGAAGGATGAAAGAAATAAACAACAG